ATATTGTATTCATTAAACAGTAAATGATGGCTAAGTTTGCGATCCATGAGCTCATTATAAGACCACAATTGAAATCAATTGTCAGTTTTGTGGACATGTCTTGGATGTGAGCACAATGTGAGACAATAGAGACATTGATAGCTAACATGTGAAGCCATAGCTATTAAACCCATTCACTGTTATTAAAACACAATCCGTTGTTAACCATGTTTTCATATATGAAACAAATTTTATTTACAAAACATTTGCATAACATGTAAATGAGTTTTCAAGCAAATACAAGCGGTTATAATAATTGGTTTGAAACAAATGTAATACAAGAACTAAACATATAATATAAACAGTAATATAAGTATTATCTGTGAGTCGAGACAATTGGTGATGAATTCCTCGTCGGCCACACCGATCAGTCTGACGGGTGACTCGTGTGCGGGAAACGACAATCGGTGTCGCATCGCAACGCCCGCCCCCTCCACGCCATTCCCGTACTCGCCGTTGAGTCCGTACGGAGCCATCAATGCCTACCCCTTTATGTCCCGATACTCGGCCGGACACATGCCGTCGCCCTTCGCCTCTCCATTGGCCAGTAGTCTGGCCGCAGGGCTCGCATATCCCACTGATATGTTTCACTACAACCCGTACAGCGCTCTCACGCCCACATCACCCCTCACTCCCAGCTCTTTCTGGTCACTCACTGCACAGCAAAGTATGTCTTATTTTCATAGTATTTCATTGGTTTCTAAACAATTACTAATAAGCAGTTAATCTGGTCTTAAGTCTGTAGTCATACGGTAGTCAACATTAAGACACTTTTGATAAATATTTGTTATATTTAACTCAAATGATAGTAATTTTATTGATAACATGTTTTTATTTTTCACATATTATTGACTTTATTAGAGGTGCTATAATTTATTTGTTGAACTTAATAAGCTGTTTATAAGTTGTTTATTCGTAATACTTCAATGACTTCTACTTAATTAATATTATTTTTGTTGAATTGATAAATAAATTATGAAAGTTATAGTGAAAGGCTAACATGCAGTCAATAATGAAATAATGAATAGATTGACTGGATTACTTTGCTCACAAATAACCATCAAATGAGTGACAGATTGCATACAAATATTATGATTATTGACTAATGTATTGATCGGTTGTAGGTTACCATCAAATGAATGGCATAGCATTGGGTCCGTCGGGTCCCATCAGTTACAACACGAATGCCCACCTCTTTAACCTGTTTTCGCCAAATTCGTTGTCATCGTTGTCTTCATTGTCACCAATGAGTCCGAACCCTGACTTACACTCGCCTTCGTTCTACCCGAGGGTCTCATCCCTGCCGTCGCCCTATGCCTCAAGTAATGCTTCTTTCGGTCATTNATATTATATGTTTAGTTCTTGTATTACATTTGTTTCAAACCAATTATTATAACCGCTTGTATTTGCTTGAAAACTCATTTACATGTTATGCAAATGTTTTGTAAATAAAATTTGTTTCATATATGAAAACATGGTTAACAACGGATTGTGTTTTAATAACAGTGAATGGGTTTAATAGCTATGGCTTCACATGTTAGCTATCAATGTCTCTATTGTCTCACATTGTGCTCACATCCAAGACATGTCCACAAAACTGACAATTGATTTCAATTGTGGTCTTATAATGAGCTCATGGATCGCAAACTTAGCCATCATTTACTGTTTAATGAATACAATATTTATGTCCATATATTCACTCAAATAACATATGAATATATCTCTAATTATCTCAAAAATAGCGCTTTTACGCGACGTTTACAACAATTTTATGCGTTTTTCATTCAATTCAATAAAATATATAAATATTTTGCGACAAAACTTATCGTTAGAGCGACGAAAATATGTGATTATATTTCGTGTAATATTTTCCATACAATTGTGGGGCAAATGGTCTCACATTTGCAACATTTATATCAAACTTAATACCAATTATTACTTATAAACACATGAATAGTAAAATAAAACTTTTAAATCCAATCAATAGTTTTGAGAAAAACAAAAACAAATATAACTTATATTTTCACATCAATTGATGACAACATTGAACACAAATATATGCAATAATTGTTGAGTTGATGGCAAAGACTGTTTGGTATTTACATTACATTTGAGACAATCACACAAAATATTCAATCTATGGGTTCTTCAGCCAATTCAACACTTATGTCAATCAATAGATGAGACAATCCTGTCATCAGTCCGTCATTGGCTTGACTGGTGTTGTCAACACTGATAGTCACTTGAATGCAGTCATCGACGGCTGAGTGGTTGACACGAATCAGACTTTCGTCGTGTTTGTAATGCAGTGGTTGTGGTGGACAGCGATGTCTGTGGTGTCTGTGGTGTCTGTGCTGTGTATTACATCTCGCGAATCACCATATCTTGTGACGCATTCAGCCAACAGTCAGACGAGAGCATCATTTGTCGCACATTTGGCAGACATTTTGCACTCAAAACACTCAATACTGTACATCACGTACACTAACACTGCAACCAACGCATCATGAAATGCATCACCAGTCACTATAGTCTCGTTCATGAACGTTATAGATATTGTATATAAAGGTACCAAATGTACGCAACAAATGCTCGCTTTTTGCAACCATTAAATGTATTGCAAATTGTATGCAAAGTGAGAGTAAACACAAGTGAGCGCTGATTGGCTCTCATGTCAGTCACAGTTATGACGCAATAATAGTTTAATTGCTTTTTGAGTGCAAAACAAGTTTTTCATCCAATGTTTGACCACTTCTTATGCATTGAAAAACAACTTTTGGTTCACTTTTCGCTCATTTATTGCATAAAAACAAAATTTATAGACCAATGAAGTGCTGTCCATATATTTGCCATGTATTACACATTTTGTATGTTTGCAAAAATGAACCTTAAAATGATTACTATTTTATAAACAAATGAAATGTAAATTTAAAATTTAAATTTAAATGCAAATCAAATGAATGAATGAATTTTGAAACTTTTGTGAAAAATTATGACAAAAATAAAAAGTTTTGTCAAAACTTTTGTGACATTTATTTGGCGACAGGTATCGCATGGCTTTCAAACGTCAAGTCATAAATTATTGTGAGTTTTGGCCCTTTTTGTCACACATTACTCATAGTCTTGAATATAATAAAAGGTACGAATAAAACACATTGTTTTCAACTGTTATCACATGTTTTGACGAAAACATTGAAAAGTTAGGCATTTGTTGTGAAAGAGATTTAACCGTAAATTGAGATCAAGAGAGACACGAGTGATGGCCGAAGAAGTGCTCCTTAAGAGTGACCGCATATTAAGTATATATCCATCGGTTTGTGAGCGATATTATGATCACAAGTACTTCACCAACGGATCCAATGATCAGACGGTTCTGTTTCATTCAAACCGGTATTGTCTTATGATTTGATTGTCTGTAATATCACTGATTTGGTTCATATGTGTGTCTATTCAGCGTATGTGTGATCACATTGTCTGCCAATCACTGTATCATAAAAGACAAGAAAACCATTGAAAACATTGACTTCAATATAAACTCCGATTTGAATCGATTGGATAACAAAGTGTCCGGAAAGTGGAAAAAGGTTTGAATTAATTGTTTGAATGAATTGTTTAATGAAAGCATTAATTGTTATGATTTGATGGAAAGGGAGGACAGAGAGTGACTCCGGAGTCCATATTGTGTCGCATTGAGTGCAAAGACAATGAGGTCTTTGATATCAAGGCCTGTATTAACGGAACGATTGTTGAAATGAATACAAAATTAGCACAAAATCACGATTTAGTCAAACAAAAGGTAACTTTGAATACAGTTTGCGATTCATTGGTAATAAAAGTGTTTCATTTGTCTCAAGACATGGTCCGACGGATTCATTGCTATTATTCTTCCATTTCGTGGTAAACAAGAGTCCGAAAAGAACTCACTGTTGAGTCCAGAAGAATATAAATCTCTTAAGCAAACCGAGGATCAGATTATTAACACTTAAATTGTATTTAATTTTTCAAATAATTAATAAAATGTTTTCAATTCAAGACGTTTTTGATTTAATGTATGAATGAATGCAATACAGACTTAACTCTAAGTAAAGTTAGGCTTTTATGAATGCAAATCAATACAGAGTTACGCCTTTTATGCAGAAAATGTCATATTTTGACAAAACTTTGTTTACAAACAGAGACACAGATTGTATTGAACTGTCATTTGTGTGGTTGGACTCAGTTTGGCATCAGTTGTCACACAATGTTGTCTTCGATGGTAAGCAGACATCAGACGAAGCAGAAGGAGAAGAAGGAAGAGATAGGTTTGCATTGACTGTCATATGATGTGATGAACTGATCCACTGATGCATTCATTGGTTAATTGTCTTCAGAGTCCAAACGCTTGGAAGCGATCGACTGTTCCGTGGATTTGACGGCAAATCTGGTGAACCATTTGAATGATGGGTAAGAGGGAGACATTGAGACCATTGGGTGATAAGTGACTGACTGTCTGTCTGTCTGTATGTGTGAAGAGTCGCCAAAACATATGTCAATCAAAGAAGACTGGACTCGGAGTCCAAACAATTGGTTCAAAACGTGACTCAATTCTCGCGATCAGTCCATCAATGGTTGCAATTAATGAATGCATTCAACAAAACCGTCAAAGAGTTGGGAGACGTCCACAACTGGTCGCAAACCATTGAACACGACATGAGGACTGTCTCATCAGCTCTCGAGTACACCTATAAAACCAGACAATCACTTCCTCCGCAGCCATGAACTCAAAGATTACTTTATAATATAATATAATTTGAAATAAAAGTTTGTTTTTTGTTTGTTTTAATATTGAATTCATATTTTATTTTATATTAAAAGTTCACAATTTCTTATTTAATGAAAACAATTATTAATAGAAATACAAAATTAAGTCAAATATACAAATGGTTTGCATTTGAAGTACAAATGAGTTGAGAAAAAAGTACAAATATTATCCAAACAATTGCTACAAAAGTACTAAAGTTATTAATCACTGATAATTAACACAACAATTGTATAGTAATCGTAAAGCGATTTATATAATCTGAACATTGATTTAGACGTGAAAGCACTCTATAATTAATGTTTAATATGGGAAACACAATAAATTCTTTAATATATCAAATCATTTTATAAAATTTGCTCAAAAAGCTAATCATTTGATTGTTAGTCGTTTGGGGGTCTAATCATTGTATAAATAACTGCATTCATATAATTAATATCAAAAATGAATCAATTCTTATAAATAGTATTGCCTTTGATTATGAAAAATATAATCAATATATAAAACAGATTATCAAATACTGTCTAAACATTTGTAACGCTTTTTGTCTATATTTTAGGAAACAACAAATTCAATCAGGTTTTGCACATCAAATGATTTCAAGTCATATTAAATATAACTCAAAATAAACACATTTTAAAATGAGAAGAATTCAGAGTTTTTTGTGTACTCTATCGTCATTAGTATAATAATTGTCGACAATTAATGTGTAAATAAAACTTTTGTAATTATATTATATAATATTTAGTAATTCTTTATATTCATTATATTATAGAAGAATCCGATTTAAGGTTTGGTGAGAAATTCTGGTGATTCTTGTGATCAATACATTTGTGGTATATTTATATATATATATATAATCCAAATATATATCCATTAAATGTTCAATTCAATAGAATTTTTCAGACGCGACTAAATTTAAGACCGGCTGTCAATCAACCAAAATATATTCAATTACAATGAATTCATTTTAAACAAAATCAAATTAATGGTACAAACCTTCATCATTTGAGTAACAGTTCTGACAGTGGAGCTTATGATTGCGAACCCGAACATCAGTGCCAACTGTCCCATTACCTGTTTTTATAATACAGTACATAACATTCATTTTAGTTCAAACCCTAAACTTTATTCTGAATGAATGGAAAATAAGGTGTAATTGAATACAAACCCAATTGGATGTTACAAACAGAACATCGGAAACAATTGATGTGATAGTAGAGAGAGAGGGACTCGACAACCATAGCGGCACAGCCTCTGCCCAACTCATCCCCACACGACGAACACTTCTTCTTTCCCGACACCGAAAGCATCCCTTTCTGTGGCGTTGAGGAGGACTTGTGGGCCGGTGAATATTATATAATATTTAGTAATTCTTTATATTCATTATATTATAGAAGAATCCGATTTAAGGTTTGGTGAGAAATTCTGGTGATTCTTGTGATCAATACATTTGTGGTATATTTATATATATATATAATCCAAATATATTTCCATTAAATGTTCAATTCAATAGAATTTTTCAGACGCGACTAAATTTAAGACCGGCTGTCAATCAACCAAAATATATTCAATTACAAGGAATTCATTTTAAACAAAATTAAACTAATGGTACAAACCTTCATCATTTGAGTAACAGTTCTGACAGTGGAGCTTATGATTGCGAACCCGAACATCAGTGCCAACTGTCCCATTACCTGTTTTCATAATACAGTACATCATTGAGTTTAGTTAAAACCCTAAACTTTATTCTAAATGAATGGAAAATAAGGTGTAATTGAATACAAACCCAATTGGATGTTACAAACAGAACATCGGAAACAATTGATGTGATAGTAGAGTGAGAGGGACTCGACAACCATAGCGGCACAGCCTCTGCCCAACTCATCCCCACACGACGAACACTTCTTCTTTCCCGACACCGAAAGCATCCCTTTCTGTGGCGTTGAGGAGGACTTGTGGGCCGGTGTCGATGTGGTTGTCCTCTGAGTAGCCGAAACTGTGGACGGCGTCGACGCTTGCGTTGGGATTGAGTCCAATTGGCGCCGAAGTTCTGCCTCTTGTAATAACCAGTGATTCTGATTATAACCGCTTTGTTGTTGTTTTAGTTGCGGCTTAAGAGCCAAAGGTTGTCCTCCTTTTTGATTCACCGGTAGTTTATGCTGTTGTGAAACCATAACTGGCTTCTGAACCACGGCTCCATTACTTGTCTGTTTGCTTGCATATGGTTTCGGGTAATATAAATACTGGTTATGCGGTGAGGGGTAGGTCTGTTCCGGTGACACTGTTTGGTTGAGTGGCGACTGTTGTTGAACACCGATATCTGATGTCGACATTTGTGACAATTGTTGTGTTGTTTGTGACATATGTTGTGACGAATCATAATACTCTCGTTCAGATGAACCAAATCTGTAATTAATACTAGTATTAAACCAAACAATTAGTTTCAAAGCCTAACAAACCTTTGCTGACGAGTGTCGATGGGTTCGTAGTGGTTGTGGTTAGAGATTTGGTTATTAAAGAGCTGTTTCTGATTGACATACAGGTGCTCTTGTGGCAGAGTTGCTTGAATTGGCTGTTTATATGGCAGTTGTGGCTGTTTGTGAAGGACTGGCTGCGATGGCTGTGTAGGTTGGGGTCGTACGGGTTGTGGACTTTTCATTGGTATAGTGCTTGCGGTTTGTTTACCGATGGACTCATCCATCAAATAGTACTGTTGCTGTTCATACTGTTGGCGCTGTTGTGCCGATTGGGACGACTGTTGCACCGGTTTTTGGTTATAGTTTGGCGACTGATAGATGACATTCGGTGCCAGAGATTTGTTAGCAATAAACTGTTCCTCGTTTAGGACCACTGGTTGTGGTCTCTGCGCTCTTTGTCTCTCTCTATGCAACTGTTGGATCCGTGCGTTCACTACCTCTTCACTCTCCTCTTCATTCTCGTGCTGTAATCCCTGTCCTCCTTGTCCTCCATATACAACAGGTCTGTCTTTAGTCTGTAACTGCGGCTCTCTATTACAAAGCTCTTCGAGCGCCTGTGTCTCCCGTTTGGACTCATCTCTACTTTTACTTTTCGTATTGTTTTTATTGTGAACATTGTTTTGATGATTGATTTCATCAGTTTTGGCCAAATTCTCAAAAGCAGATAATTTTGCTTTAAAACTCTTCTCCTGTTCTAATCTTTCGATTCTTTCGAGCTCTTCGTCGTCTTCGTCATCGTCTTCGGCGTCGTAACTGTTGTTATATTGATTGACGTCTTCGTCGGCAAACTGTTGGCTTTGATTGTGTGACGACTGGTGCTGTTGTTCTTGTTTTAGTAAATACATCAAAACATTATCCTTTTGTTGTTGACTATTCTGTTGCTTCCAGTCATTGATCTCAACCCTCACCCTATCTGATCTCTGGCTCTGCTCTTTGTTGGCATCGATGTCCCGGTATTTATTGATTTCATTAATAGATTTCTTATCACTAGTCCTGTTAACTGAAGAGTCTTTGTGTTGTTCAACGAATGAATTATTACTGTTATTGTGATTTTGTGGGCAATTCTTCGTGATCTCCACAATGGATGAGTCGTCGCTGTCCTCTCTGTTGTGGTTATTCTTATAACTAAACTCTTTTAACAAAGAGGTATCAAATACTATGACATCTCCTAAATTGCATTTTTCATTATTACTATTATTGGCATTAATTATGTTATTGTTATTATTGTTGTTATAATTAACGTGTTTATCGTTATCTTCACTCATACTGTCGTCGGAATTCTTGTCATCTGTTTGTTGATCACAAAAATACAAATTCATAAATAAATTAAATGTTTTATTTCACTATAACATTGTTTGTAACTTTTTATAGTACCGTAAAACTATAATAAGAATAAAATAAACAAAACTAAGTAATCATTTCTATTAAATAATTAAAAATTAATAAAAATGATTAGTACTGTATATAAATAGGATAATAAATGCACGAAAGCGTAGATATAATGATATCATTTCATGAATGGCAAACATTATTTAAAACAATGTCAATGAATGACATAATAATAACCTATTAAAGAGTTACTTACTTAGCATTGAAAAACAAAAAATGTTTTGTATATTCATAATAGAAATTATAGAATAATTGAATTCAATCTCATATTTAATATGACTGTATATGAAGTCAAACCCATTTGCGAACAGATATATTAAATTACTTAAGAATTATTCTCCAAAATAAATACAAAAACAACAAAATTGTTGGAATAGTTGTTGTGTTGTAAATGAATTTTAAATTTAATGCATAAAAACAAAAATATAGATTTATTACAAAATTAGATAAATAGAAATAAATGGTTTAATATTATATTAGATTATAGGGAACGGCCCGAAAACCAGACTAAACTAAAATAAAAGTTATTTTAATAAAAGGCTGATAATAGAAACAAACGATTTAATTAAATAGAGATATAATTGTTTTAAATTTTTATTTTTATAAATAATTGATAAAAATATATATAACTTATACACTATAAGAAAAGTAGAAAAAAATAAAAGCAAACTTCACTTATTATATGAAAATGAGAAATATTATAATTTCATAGCAAAAATTAATTTAAAATGAGTGCAAATGAAGTGTTTTCTTACCCGAACTGTTATGATCGCCATTTGATCTCAAGTCGGTCTCATTTTCGAGATCTCCGTCGAGATATTTGTGTAAATTATAACCAATCCGTTGTCCGGACTTTGCTTTATCGCTAAGTATTTCGGAAAATGTTTTTGTCTTTCGATTGGTGGCTAAAGATGTTCCGCTTTCGTCTAAATATAAAACAAATATTTTAATTAATAATTTCTAAAAAGTAAATCAAGTATAAAAACATTATGTTCTTTGAAACCAAAACATTATATAATTCCTATAATTACTACGAAAACTTTACATTTCATTGAATTAAAGTGATTATAAATTTAGGTATCTATTTAAACATTAATGTGAGCCAAAGGTTTAATAAACTTTAATTATATCTTTAATTGTTTGTGTCATTCATTGCGAGTGGTTCTCTAGGATTAGAAATTTAAATATAGAAATTATCATAACTTTGAAATTGCTTTCATAATACTAATTGTATTCTCAAATAAAGTCTAGTTTTAAATGTGTGAGAATGAAAGATAACTAAAAATTAAAATCACGAAAATTATGAGACAAACCAACTTTTTACGTGATATCAATTGCATTCATTTAGAGAGACCTTTTTTATGGCTATTATTTATAAGTTATAGTTTAGATTACATTTCCTAAAAAAGTTTCTCGTTTTATGACGTGAGTTATAAATCCGATATATAAATACTGAACAATAATAAAAACCAATGGATTAACAAATAAAAACTTTTAAAATAGAGTCTATCAATAGACTATAGAAAAAAGGACGAAATAAATCTTTACAATAAAACAAAATTAATTTAAATGTTCGGAAAATTCAATCAGAAAACGAGTACAACATAAGGAATTCAGTGGAAAATCTGGACATTTTTCAAATGTGAACCAGAAATAAGGTTTTCCACAAATAAGACTTCTATTCATACGAATGGCTTTACAAAAGGCTTCCGGCGAAACAGTTTTCGTGAAATACAATATAAACCTGTCTTTTATTTAATACAAAGTGTTTGTATATATATAAACACAAAATATTAAATTTTAAAACAAAAGTAAAACACAAAATAAGTTCATTGTTTGACAGATATATAAGATAAATGTTATGATAAACAGAAAACAAGAGAAATTTTTGTGTTTCAAAGAAATATATATATATTATGAAGAGTTTTCTTGTGGTGAACACAAACTCATTTCAGATGTTATTTCATTAGTCAAAGAAAACTTTATATAATATCAAAGTCTGCTATCATTTTTTGAACCACTTTTTTGAGCGCAAAATGTTAAAATAATACTTATTATAAAATGGTATTTAATATAATTATTTATAACAAAATATTAAATTTTAAAACAAAAGTAAAACACAAAATAAGTTCATTGTTTGACAGATATATAAGATAAATGTTATGATAAACAGAAAACAAGAGAAATTTTTGTGTTTCAAAGAAATATATATACAGTGTATATATATATATATATATATTATGAAGAGTTTTCTTGTGGTGAACACAAACTCATTTCAGATGTTATTCTTATTTCATTAGTCAAAGAAAACTTTATATAATATCAAAGTCTGCTATCATTTTTTGAACCACTTTTTTGAGCGCAAAATGTTAAAATAATACTTATTATAAAATGGTATTTAATATAATTATTTATCACTTAAAATATTATCATAATAGC